CGTCGGGGGGGGGGGACAGGGGGGAGGGCTTTTGATAGAATTTTATCTGCTGGAAAACATGGAGGTGCTAGAGCTCCTCACTGGAACAATTGTAAGAACATTTCAATATGGGCAAGACATCTTTTCTCCTAGCTTCATTTGAGAAGTTGGTTGAACCATTATGCCTGAAACTTTCATGAAAAAAGTCACCAAGAAGCAGACACCCAGCATGGAAAATTTCAATCCAAATACTTACATTTTGGCAAACTTATAAGCAACTGAAAATGAGGTCCTCTAATTGAAGGTGTCAAACAGCCTTAACTAATGGTGGTGACACCAGAACCCCCTACAGTGGCCAATTCAGCTAAGGTCTTTGCTCCAATAATGTCTGTGGCAAGGAGTTCCAAAGGCCAAATACGTATTATGTTAACAATTTTCCTTTCTCAATATAATATGTTCAGACTTTCAATGTAATTGAATGTTCCCTTGTTTGTGTGTTATGACACAGAGTAAATATAAATGCTTGATCTCTTTTTTTAATGAATAGATTCATAAGGTATGAGGCCAGAAGCGACAACCCTACCATACAGTCTGACGTCCTGTATAACACAGGCCATTAAATTTCTCCTAGTTATCCCTGTATTGAGCCCAAAGACTTGTGTGTGGCTAAGTGCTGGTTTACATCATAGAATCATAGAGCCACAGGGTGAGAAGGGACCGCAAGGGTCATCTAGTCTAACCCCCTGCCAAGATACAGGATTTGTTGTGTCTAACCATCTGAGACAGATGACTATCCAGCCTTCTTTGGAAAATCTCCAGCAAAGGAGCTTCCACAACCTCCCTAGGCATCTGTTCCATTATCCCTACTGCAGTTACAGTTAGGAACTTAACATAAACTTACATGACACTAAACTGGGAAGAGTGGTAGATACCCTGGAGGGTACGGATAAGATACAGAGGGACCTAGACAAATTAGAGGATTGGGCCAAAAGAAATCTGATGAGGTTCAACAAGGACAAGTGCAGAGTCCTGCACTGAGGACGGAAGAATCCCATGCACTGTTACAGAGTAGGGACCAAATGGCTAGGCAGCAGTTCTGCAGAAAAGGACCTAGGGGTTACACTGTGCCCTTGTTGCCAAGAAGGCTAATGGCATTTTGGGCTGTATAAGTAGAGGCATTGCCAGCAGATCGAGGGACGCGAGCCTTCCTCTCTATTCGACATTGGTGAGGCCTCATCTGGAATACTGTGCCTACAAGAAGTATGTGGAAAAATTGGAAAGAGTCCAGCAGAGGGCAACACAAATGATTAGGGGGCTGGAGCACATGACTTATGAGGAGAGGCTGATGGAACTGGGATCATTTAGTCTGCGGAAGAGGAGAATGAGGGGTGATTTGATCACGCATATGCTATCATGTACCAGCAATGCCCCTCTGCCATGTACATTGGCCAAACCGGACAGTCTCTACACAAAAGAATTAATGGACACAAATCTGACATCAGGAATCATAACATTCAAAAACCAGTGGGAGAACACTTTAACCTGTCTGGACATTCAATGACAGACCTGCCTGTGGCAATTTTGCAACAAAAAAGATTCAAAAACAGACTCCTGAGCTTGAATTGATATGCAAATTAGATATGATCAATTTAGGCTTAAATAGAGACTGGGAATGGCTGAGCCATTACAAACATTGAATCTATCTTCCCTTGTAAGTATTCTCACACTTCTTATCAAACTGTCTGTACTGGGCTAGCTTGATTATCACTTCAAAAGTTTTTTTTCCCTTTTACTTAATTGGCCTCTCAGAGTTGGTAAGACAACTCCCACCTTTTCATGGTTTCTGTATGTGTGTATATATATCTCCTCAATATATGTTCCATTCTATGCATCCGAAGAAGTGGGCTGTAGCCCACGAAAGCTTATGCTCAAATAAATGTGTTAGTCTCTAAGGTGCCACAAGTACTCCTGTTCTTTTTGCTTGGTAATAGTGACTATAATATCATTAAATTTAATATTAATTTAATTTTTTTTAAATTATTTTTAGATGATTGAAGATCTCCTGCTAAAGCCAGTGTGATCTCTTGCTATATTTTCTATCTTTTCCACATAGTGGAATAGTTTGCTCTCATGCCCTTAATAATGTCTCTTTGAAAAACTTGCAACTGTCTTCAATTGTTTTTCCCCTTAGACTTGCGTCCCATGGGATTTTATGTGTCAGCTCCCTGAGTTTGCTAAGGCATACTTTATTGAAATCCATTGTCTTTATTTTGCTGTTTTCCCTCCTACCGTTCCTTAGAATCATGAACTCTATCATTTCGTGATCATTTTCCCCCAAGTTGCCTTCCATTTTCAAATTCTCAACCAGTTCCTCCCTATTTGTCATAATCAAATGTAGAACAGCCTCTCCCCTAGTAGCTTTCTCCACCTTCTGAATTTAAAAAAATGTGACTTTTTAGCTGTCTAATGAACTCTTCTTAATATACTGCCAATTTCCTCCCAATCAGTGTTGCTGATAATTTGTCTCAGCTTTGGGAAATTAGCCCTTTGGAAGAATTAAGTACCTACAGATATTACTGGTTGGGAACTTTTCTCTGTTTCTTTATTTGAATGTAATCTGTACCATTCTTTATTTTGTTCTCCTCTATCATATGCCCCCTTCTTTGTCTCTTCCCTAAACTAAATAGCCCCAAACTTTTCAGTCTGTCTACATAGGGCATCCTCCCTGATTCTCACCTCTCCAGAAATTCCTTTTCTATATGCTATATCTTTTATAGAGACGGGGTGACCAAAGCTGAGTGCATATCCAGAGCAGGTTATTCTCCATCCCATTCTTTAGATATCTGAACACTGCCTTTGTTTTGGCCACTGCTGCGAATGATGAGGTGTTTTTGTGGAATTGCTACCAATGATGTCCAGGTCTTTTTCCTGATGTGTGTTCTAGTTGGGATGTTTCCCACGCCATATGTCTTGGGAAAGGTTTGGAGTTTTTCCATTCTCATATTTTGAGACTGTGTGAATGGGGAATTCCCTACAGCATGGACTCTCTAGCCTGGTTTCATTGCATTAAGGAACAATGAGGGATAACCAGTATCTACACTCATGTTTCCTGCTAGTGCCTATTTAGATTTCCCACAACACGGCATGTAGGATATATTGACACATGGAGCACCATAGCATATGGTGCATAATCAAATATATAATTGGCATTAGTAGGGTCAGTTGTTCATAATTCATTTATCTGAATAATGAAAATGTCATTTCTCAGTTTGTGAAGAGTGACCAATCTGCTTCATACATGAGAACAGCCTCCAGTAGTGAATTTAGTGTCTCATATTAATATTTTCTCTCCATCCAGGCTTTTGTACTGCGACCATCACCCTAGACCCTGGGCACATACAGGAAGCTGGGGGAACATACGGTACATGCAGGAGACACCGTTCTGCCTCAGAGTTGGACACCTTCTCACCTACTCCATGTCAGATTCCAACACAACTGACCTCACCAACGCCTCCATCTTCATACTGTTGGGCATTCCTGGCCTGGAGGCAGCCCATGTCTGGATCTCCATCCCCTTCTGCGCTATGTACGCTATAGCTGTGTTGGGGAACTTCACCATCCTGTCCATTGTGAAGATGGAGCCGAGCCTCCATGGGCCCATGTACTATTTCCTTTGCATGTTGGCCGTCACCGACCTAGTCCTGTCTACGTCCATCCTACCCAAAACACTGAGCATTTTCTGGTTCAATTCCAGGGAGATCGATTTCAGTGCTTGCCTCACCCAACTGTACTTCATT